CAATCCAAAGAGCTCGTGATCGTGATTACTATCACTGGTTTACATGTGATGGTCATGCTGTGCATCTCTGATCATTAATCTTGATTACTTGCCCCAAAATTGACAATCTCCTTGGAATTGTCAATAAGTGTTCTTTTGTTTTAATGCTGTGAGCTACTCAAAGCTGCTAGTTGGTGGACTTGCTTCAGACTTGTGGTGCCAGGATCTGATTTACGAACATCCTGTGTCTTGGTCCTTTCTGTGGAATTCGGCTCCTCGTGTTTCAACCATGTTCTTGATCGAATCTTAAATTTTCCGAGTCGGTCTGATACCCTACAAGAGTGTGTTAAAAATGTAAAAGATTGGATGACCAATAATTTTCTCCTATTAAATTTGGATAAGACAGAGATATTACTTATTAGACCAAAAACAGTACACAGAATCTCGTGGATTACAATTTGCAACTAGACGGATGTACTGTTACTTCCTCTACAGTCAAAAATCTGGGTATTATATTAGACAGCAACTTGTCTTTTGAAAATCATATTTCCCATGTTACAAAAACAGCATTCTTCCATCTTCCAACAGCAGTCTTCCCCAAGATTGTGTAGCCTAGTGAACCAAACTGAGAGACCATTTTGAAGGCTCAGGAAACCTTTGCAGGTGTTTTGAGTTGATTAGATGATTGGCATGTCACCATATTCTAATTTGTTGAGATAGTGAATTGGTGGGTTTTTGTTAAATGTGAGCCAAAATCATCACAATTAAAAGAACCAAAGACTTAAACTACTTCAGTCTGTGTGCATTGAATTTATTTAATACACGAGTTTCACAATTTGAGTTGAATAAATGAACTTTTCCACGACATTCTGATTTATTGAGATGCACCTGTACATAAGAAAGAAAATAAAACAACACAAATGTAGGGTTGCTCTCCTGAAGCAACGCACGCACACACACACACATGCAAAGAATGGTCAGATAGTTAATTGAGGACGCAGCATCGCACCTGAAAGTACAAGACCTTGAACAAGAACATGAACTAAACATGCCTTCATTGCGTGAAACTCTTCTCACATGACTGGCAGTGATATAGCTTCTATCTAGTGTGGACACTCTTATGTCTTTTCAGGTTTCCTAAAATACTGAATGTCTTGTCACAGTGTGAACACTGGTAAGGTTTTTCTCCGGTGTGAACTGTCTGGTGCTGTTTCAGTACATAGAGTGTAAAAAAAGTCTTTCCACACTCCGAGCAAATGTGATCCTTCACACCGCTGTGTCTTTTCTGGTGTACTTTTAAACCATTCAGGTGTCTAAAGCTCTTTGCACACAAAGAACATACGTGAGGCCTCTCCTCTGAGTGAATTTTCAGGTGGTCCTTCAGGGCATCTGGCCTAAAAAATGTTTTACTGCACTGGTCACAGTTATAAATTCTTTCTCTAGAATGAGTGAGCAGATGCACTTTGAAAACACTTGACTTTCTGAAACTCTTCCCGCACTGATCACAGGTGTGCAGGTTTTCTCCCGTGTGGATTTTTATGTGATCATTAAGGATCTGTTTTCGTGTGAAACTTTCCCCGCAGTGATCGCACGAGTGCGGCTTCTCTCCAGTGTGGACTCTCATGTGTTGATCAAGGAGGTGTTTTTGTCTGAACTTCTTTCCACACTGACTGCATGCGTGCCGTTTTTCTCCAGTGGTTATTCTCCAGGGCTTCTCTCCGGCGTGCATTTTTATGTGTGTATTAAGGTTTCCTTTATGTCTGAATTTCCTCCCGCACTGATCACACGCGTACGGCATCGCTCCCGTGTGGATTTTCATGTGATCATTAAAGTTTCCTTTATTTCTGAACTTCTTCCCGCACTGATCACACGCGTGTGGCTTCTCGTCAGTGTGGATTTTACGGTGTTTGGCAAGGTTTGCTTTTTGCCTGAAACTCTTCCCGCACTGATCACAGGTGTGCAGGTTTTCTCCCGTGTGGATTTTTATGTGATCATTAAGGATCTGTTTTCGTGTGAAACTTTCCCCGCAGTGATCGCACGAGTGCGGCTTCTCTCCAGTGTGGACTCTCATGTGTTGATCAAGGAGGTGTTTTTGTCTGAACTTCTTTCCACACTGAGTGCACGCGTGCGGTTTTTCTCCAGTGGTTTTACTCCAGGGCTCCTCTCCTGCGTGGATTCTCATGTGTGTATTAAGGTTTCCTTTATGTCTGAATTTGATTGCCTGAAACTCTTCCCGCACTGATCACAGGTGTGCAGGTTTTCTCCCGTGTGGATTTTTATGTGATCATTAAGGATCTGTTTTCGTGTGAAACTTTCCCCGCAGTGATCGCACGAGTGCGGCTTCTCTCCAGTGTGGACTCTCATGTGTTGATCAAGGAGGTGTTTTTGTCTGAACTTCTTTCCACACTGACTGCATGCGTGCCGTTTTTCTCCAGTGGTTATTCTCCAGGGCTTCTCTCCGGCGTGCATTTTTATGTGTTTATTAAGGTTTCCTTTATGTCTGAATTTCCTCCCGCACTGATCACACGCGTACGGCATCGCTCCCGTGTGGATTTTCATGTGTTCATTAAGGTTTCCTTTATTTCTGAACTTCTTCCCGCACTGATCACACGCGTGTGGCTTCTCGTCAGTGTGGATTTTACTGTGTTTGGCAAGGTTTGCTTTTTGCCTGAAAGTCTTCTCGCACTGATCACACGCGTACGGCTTCATTCCACTGTGAAATTTCATGTGAAGATCAAGACTTTGTTCGCATGAGAAGCTCTCTCCACACTGAGGGCAAGTGAAACATATTTGGGCTCTTGTTTGCAACGAGGGATTCAAGGATGTTTCATCAGTTTTGATGTCATGATGTTTCTTCCCCGCTTCAATCACTTCTTCCATCACGTCTAAAATGAAAAAAATTTAATTATAACATTTTTTTTTCTTTTCATTAAATCATTAAAAATGTCAAAAAGACCAAATGTAAAGGGAAAAAGACGTGAACACTGATACATTAGCAGAGAGTATGATCATTTTGATGGATTAGTTTTAACAGTGTACGCTGATCATTCAATTATTATTTTAATAACATTACAGTCAGAAATATCATGTCTTTGCAGTGAGAGAGAAGTGTTAAATATTTGATGAGCTGCATTTAACATTTTTCAAGTCAGGGTTGTAAAATGTTCAAAATTTAAGTAACATTAGCTATGTTTCCATCCACCTATTTTTATGCACATTTTGGAATATTGCATTAAAAAAAAAACGCTGGATGGAAACGCCAAGATGCACATAAATTCTAAAAATGTGCATAAAAAACTTGTGCGCACATTTGAGTAGGATATGTTGAGTAGGATTTTATCAGATATTTGAGTAGGGTTTTATCCGATAAGAAAACATGCACATGATGGAAACACATTTACTGAATAAATTACTCCATGCGCATCAAAAAAAGTCATGTGACTTTGCGCTACGAGACCAGCGCTAACCAGCGGACCGATCTTGTTCACAGCATCTAAGCTGTTATGGAAATTCTGAAAAGTCTGTCGTCAAAGTATTTCTGTATAATTGTCTTACACGACTGCGTTCCCAAACAGCAGCATACGCCCTCCGAAAGCAATGATTGCATTTATTGCGTTGTTTCGAGGCGCAAGTAATTTATCATATATTAAAATTATTATATTGAGTGGCTTCTCCTAGTTTTATTTGTGATATTTAGTGCCAGTTTACCAGGAAGTGACGATTTTGTTTTCTTTGATTCGTTGGATGGAAACGGTGCTTTATTCGCAAATGTTTTATGCGATATTCCAGTTTTGCGCGCAAGTTTAATTTGAATCTTTGGATGGAAACATAGCTATTGTTGCAAAAATTGTGAATCAGATATAAACATAAAGTAAAACAGTTCAGATAATATTTAGTCTGACATCCTAATGTGTGACATCAGCATGTATGTTTCTCAAACCTCTTTTTATTGAAAAGAAAAGAAAATTGAGTTTTATGCTCCATTTTGTGCCCAGTTCATGGAAAGTTACCTGGATATTATTTGCTCTGAAGCTGCCGTGCAGAAGAGTTTAATCAATCAATTATTGACCAAGTACATAAAAACAGTAAAATGGTAAGCATATAGGGTAACCACCATCAGCTAGGACTGTGCAATTAATTGAAAAACTGTTTCGATTTCGATCTCCAACGATTATGAAAATACAGTAATCGAGATAATCAAGGATGGTTTTCGTGGGAAATGTCTGTCTCGTGACATTCATCTTTATATGATGGCATCACATTCATAAAGACCAAAAGAAGAAAGCTTTTCAGAGAGTTCAACAGGCTTAAACTGTAATAGATGCAAGATATCTTAGTGCAGATGTTACAGGGAGGAAAACTTCACAGCAGCAAATAAACACCTTATCGATAACACGGTAAGGGGTGGAGATATTGTACATAATTTACGCACCACTATCAATATACGGGGTCTTGCTTTTGTAATGAATTCACACTTGCAATTTACTTTCGCTTTCAAATTCACAATCACAAGATATTAATCGATGACATTCAGGATCTGTTGCGCACCTAATCATCCACCATGGTCTTGTCAGTCAATTCATTTTGAGTTAATTCAATGACTTGCTCAAAGACTTTTCATTAATGGATGAATCTGCATTTTTGAACGAATCTCTTGAACGAATGATTCAAAGACAAGTACATTTTTAACAGCTATTTGTGGGTACCACGTTACAGTAAGTTTGCTGGTGGGTGAGGAGAGGGAATGAGGGACTATTGTTGAGTATTTTGCAAATTGGTGTCGAGAGGCTGGTCTACTTCTGCACGCTGCGAAAACCAATTTGCATCGACCTGCGGCGGAATCAAGTACGATTGTCTAGAATCAATTTGATTGAAGTGGTCGTAAGTACCTAGGCAGGGCTGTACAGTGCGACATATATGTCGCACGTGCTACA